ATGCACCACGGCTATTCCACTTTATAGCGAAGCCCTTGGTCTCGTCTTTACCGACAACTACGGCAAAGAAGCTCCGAGTGTTTACAAGTCTTGAAGACTGGTATCAGGAACGGCAAGCGCAGTTTGCTGCTCACCAACTTGAGAAGAAGTACGGGGGTACTGCCGCTGACATAACAGAGGTACTCACTATCACTATATCCACTATATCGAACTCCATCGCGGCAGTTCTTTCAGAAGAGCCTCAGTAGTTCACTTCGGAGAAGGCCACATTTGAACTCCAGAAAAATATTGTTCATCGCATATAGTCTTTTTAAATGCGCTTGTCGTGCGGCCTGTTCGCAGCACTGGTACCCCTTTCGCTTTTTCCCAGGACCATTTGAACCCGAATGCGAAGCAGGAAACAGCGACGGCATGAAGACAGCCGTCCGTTGGGAGAGCGAACAAACACTGCACGCTAAGGTACATCCACTTGTGCACACTGGAGTTTCCCTGCATACATCCTTAGTATGGAGGCGCTCAGTGGCGAAGGAGAACCCACNTGCACACTGGAGTTTCCCTGCATACATCCTTAGTATGGAGGCGCTCAGTGGCGAAGGAGAACCCACATTTTCGATATGCGGCGTGGCTGCGCCATCTGCCTGAGCTTCATTTGGCGCCAGCGACTGTAGAGTGGGCAAGAGTCATGCTCAGTGGCCGTCTAGAAGGACACCATGATTGTCTGGCTCAGCAGATGGTGCACGAAGCGGTAGCTGAAGCGTCGAGTCGAACATCTGAAGCTCCGGTTACTGTGTCATTTTCTCTGAGCAGCCCTCCTTGTGAGCATTGGACCCGTCTTCCCTTTAGTGCATCCTCAGAGGACGATCCCCCTTGATGAACCCCTGCATCGTGATATTTGTTAACTTCACCCGGTGCCCCTACGGGTGCTCGTGCTCCGTCGGAACACCTCAGATAAGGCCCATTTCCGCAACAGTTTCGACTGCAAATTCTGCCTTCAGGCTCTTTAGTCGTGTCGCTGGCCGACGACACAGGCGAAGTAAGTGAAACCCCTAGCAAGAAGGCAACAGAGTGTATCCCGCATGGCGCAGGTCATGCGGTTGGACGGTGTTGGGAAAGTCCTTTGGGCCAAACAACGATATTTACTCCTAGACTACAGGCTCAGAATCCCGTGAGATCGGCCCAAAGTTGTCTTGGAGAAACCGAGCAGGTCACGTATGAGGTCTGTTCTGTCTCGTCGCCATTCTTCAGCGCCGACGGAAGGGAACCACCGTTAGCAAACTGGCCTTCCCGCGTGGAACGGCCGCCCGAAGCCTCTGAGGAAATTCCACCTGCTCATGCCCCGCATATGGCACGGGATAAACGTTCTCCTCCATCTTCCCCTTCCTGCGGAATGCAAGGCGCAGGGAGGAGCGTTTCTGCCTCCGCTCACGCCCGAACGCATTGGGCCCTTGAGGCTGCCTCTGATCGACCAGACACCCACAGTGGAGACCAATCTATGCTTCGTAACCATACCACAGCGACACACTTAAATGCATCCACTCTGAAGAACTATTATCGGAGGGATCAACGGCGATTAGTTGCATCAACTAGCGACCTACAGGACGGAAACACTGTCGAAGCTGTCGAAGCTCCCTTGTATCCTTCGGAATGCAGCAGCAGCGTCAGGGCGCCAGCTCACAAGGAGCCCATTGCTGGGAGAACGGCTTCTCAGCCAGATACTCCACCGCCACTGCAGCACCCACATTCGCCGGTGTCATTGAGCGCCTGCCGAACGGCGTCGCTCTCAGCATCAAGCCCACTTGAGAGGGCTTTGGGAACTCCTCCAAACACCGCCTGGCAAACTGCCCCTTCGTGCGAACGACCACCAAAGGGGAGCGTTTCTGCATGCAGGAGCTTCCCTTCTTTTCCTTGCGATGCAGCGACGGGGTCTTCGAAGACAGGGATGATGCCTTTCGCGCTTCGTCCGAGCCCGACACAATTATCTGCCCACTGTTCCCATACAGTGGCAGCAGGAAATAGAACAGCAGGGTTGAAGGCTAGCGCGGGTCGCCCTGTTGACTGTGGATTGCACTACAATAAGTTCTCCAGGCCAGTGAATGAAGTAGATAAAGGGAGGATGCGCGTTCAAGGATCCTCACATTTTCTTTCCCCCGTTGCTGCTGAGCTCTCTCCCAGCGTTTCACTCTACTCGTTCACAGGAAGCAGCCGTTCAGAAACCTTTTTGGTGTGTGAGGATCTCTCCAGTTTCCAGGGTGGGATGACTTTGCGGACGGATGAGGCTGGCAATCAACTGCGTGGTCAAGGAGTACAAATGCGAAAGGACCCGGATCCAGGTTTACCCGACCCGACCCCGTCAGCGCATTCTAAGTCCCATGCGAAACTTTGGGAGGAGCAGGCAAACGTGACACAAGGAGAGCTTATCGAGCCGCAAGCATCTCGTGTTATGGAGCTGCGAAGATTGAAGCGTGTGATGCGAGCACTGTACAGTTCGGTGTCGGGAACTTACCGACGTTCTGAAAACAAGCAGCAGCTGGATCACTACAATGAGATACCAAAAACAACTCGTCCGACACGACTGTACAGGCGGTACGCTCGAAGCAAACTGCAAAAGACTGAAAAGTTACACCAGCTTGATATGGTTGAACCGGAAAAGCGTCATCGCATTGGATTACGACGGCGACTACGTCGTCGACTGCTCCCTCAGAATTGTCATGCAGCAGCCGCTCCTTGCGCAGGAGGCATTCCGAATCCCACAGGCACGCGACGTTACTATAGGCGAGTTAGACTCTACCGCAGATTTAGTGGGGCAATTTCAAACACGCGCTTTTTGTTCCAGGAAAGCATGCTGCGTTCGAATAGAAGTGACTGCGAATCATGCTCGGAAACAACGAGAAATGCAAGAATACCTTCGAGTTTTGCGGCAGCGCGCGGCACTTCAAAGCGTTTCATTCGGCTTCCGATCTCCTTCTCTGATCGTGTGCGGCGGGGAACGCTCGTACTTGCCCGGAGTATGCAAGGCAGAGCCCGGCGTAGTGGGACAATGTAGCAGCGCCTTCCTTCAGCATCATGCCAGCTGTCGGCGCAGCAGCTTGCAGCCTTGTGATTAGCGCATCTTGGCGATTTTGTACTTCACTGAAGACCTGTGCTGTCGAAGCCATAGGCTGGCTTAAAGCCAATACTGTCACCAACTTGTTTAGCTTGGCCGTAGGACAACTGCGGCGGCACTCTATGCAGACTCATTCCAGCTCCGGGGCGTTCGATCCCGTCATGTGTTTTCGGTGCTCGAGGGTCCCACTCGCTGCTTAGTTTTGCGGCTTATTCGATCATGTGGGGACAGAAAGAGTCACTCTGTGGCCTCAAGATGGCCGCAGGGTGCACTACATGGTGCACTGTGTTTCCAGCGGCTGTTGCACCGGGGATGTGGCTTCATCTTGAAACTAGATTTGGCCCAATGTGCTTGTAACAATTCCACCGGTAGTGAGCTGTGAGCGCTTATGGCAGGTGGAGATTTAGTGGCTCGCAGGTATAAGGCCCACGCATGCATCCTGAGCACTCCCTTGTCAACATGGCGCCGCCTGTCTGCCGTCATCTTAGTCCGTTTTTTTTTTTTAACGTTTTGTTTTTCCAATATGTGGAGTACACGTAAACACCTGCCCCCAGTAGCAGCCAGGTGTTTGTTCAGGTATCTAACTGCTTAAGGTCTTTCCAACTCAACGACATCAGTACTGCAGCCTTGCCACAATGCAACAAACTGTGCTCCGTGATATGCTGGCTTGATAATCACGATTATAGCTGTTTGCTAGTAAAGCTGTCCCGTAGTCTAATTGCTTCACTTACGGGACCGAGGTGGGTAATGAGCCAAAACAATATGCCTCCCACTCATGATGTATATTAAAATGGCCTTGGCAAACCGAAAATTGATAAAACGAAGCGTTATATGCTCCGCACGGAAAAATCTTTGGAATGAGAAGACGCAGCTGCCAACATCAAGCTGCATCAACCCTCTGCAAGAAGCATATTCAAATAATCCGTCGCGTCACTTGCAGAAGCCAACCGAGGTTTGGGTGCCCCCTCACACGCAACTGGGGAAGTGTAAACCCGTCGGTCGGTGTAAGCTGGCACGAGAAGCGGTGGCGATTCGCCCAACGAGCCACTACTAGCATATGTCACGCTATTTGTCCAAGAATCCTTGTACAACCGTCCGCTAACGGCGCACTCGAAGAGGCCCCAAGAGCCGTGATATCTGGCTTGGCTTCAATGCTGCCACGCGCCGCAGTCTTGTGCGTCTTGCTGAAGACTTCGTGTGCGCATGGTGCTGCAGTCCAGGTCGTTTGTAGAGCAGCTTCCCAGTTGCAGTAATCTTGAAGCGCTTATCAATGGAACCTCTCGACTTCTGCTTCACTGCTGCAACGCGAACTGCACGACGCATTGAGAGGTTGTATGGAGCTCCTGACAACGACGGGTCAAACTGCGCAACGTGGACGGGATGCTTCGGGTGAGACGCAGTAAACAGCAAACCACTGGCAGCACTACAGAAAGACTTTCCCCGCTGCCCCTTACCTGGGAGGCAGCTAGTTTTGGCAGCTTGCGAAGCTTTGCAATATAACGGTTGCAACCACGCAACTTTCTGCTGTGCTGCCGAGCTTGCTGCAGCCCTCCGGTCCTGCAGCCCGCTCCTTTGAAGTACGGAGTCTAATATCCCCCTACCTCCGCAAGCAGTCAAGCTCCCGTCAATTGCAAACGCCGAAGACCCATCGTTCCGGCCCACTCGACGAACGTGATACACCCTACTGGTTTGCGGAGTTACCCAATATCCCGGCAGCATTACCTCAGGATCCAGATCTGCTGAAGAGGGAGCCCTTGAACACAGTGCTACGTTCACTGCGGTGGCCAAAAGAAAGAGAGGGAGCAGCCTCCCAACGGCCCGCCTTGGCTTGCCACTGCCGCTGCAAGCCACACGTCCTCTAGTTTGTACTATTCCGGGCTCTGACTGCATCCCTTCGTCTCGCATCTGCGGCGTTCTGGAGCTTGCACTGGGGAAGGGAAGCGAAACGTCCTGCACTCGTGATGGCCCTTCATCTTTACCCCAGTTTTGTACCTTCGTGCTCGTTCGAGAATTGTCACAGCACTTAGCTTCCATATCGTCGAGCGCCGCCCAGCTCCTTTCGTTGTTTGTTTTGTGTGACGGAAGGCCGTGATTCCTAGAATGAAGGGATACAGCCCTACTAAATGCCGGTGCTGCTGAATGAATAGCAATAGCGTGCCCTCGAGATGTGCCGGTCGGGTCTTGCGTCTTACAAGAGGGCGGCACGGCGGTGCGTCGTTCCGCCAAAAAGCTTGAGGCTTTCGGTTGCTGAACGTGGACCTCCACTTTAGAGCGAGGATGAGGTAGAAGTGCTTGCGCCGTCAGCTTCGGCTCCCTCAATCGTAGCCGCCGGCTCCTACCAAACAGATGCCCTGCTTGCACGGCCGATGTGGGGGTTCTTCTTTGGGCCCCCTTGAACAGTCGCTTTCCTTCCGCCGATGACGAGGGCCGCTGTGTCTTGTATATACAAGATGATGACATCGCTCTCACGTTTTCCACCCTGCGCGCTGTCGATTGGATCGGTATGGGGGATCCACGAATGTTAATTTCTGTGAAGTCTGTGGGGCGTCTCCCCAAAGTTGAGCTCCTTCGTATCCCGACGCCTTTACCCGCTCCCGCAACACTTAGAAACGCGCTGCCGTCACTGAAATAAGACGCCAACGGCAACTCGCCTCTGGGTTGCTTCTTCTGAGTTGGGCCTTCAAGACATCGTATACAATTTCGATTTCCTTTCACAGCGTCTCGCGATAGCTCTGTTGAGCCCTGACTAGCAGTCCTCAAGGCAGATACGTGACTCGACCCAGAATAGCTCTGCTCCTGTTTTTGTAGATGTGCCAATGCAGTCCCTAAAGTTTCACCCTTCATTTGGTCGCTTGTTTGCTCTTCTTGAGTTTCACTGCATGTAGCAGAAGATAGCGGGCTGCACTGTTGAGGCTGTACTTCTGCCGGTGGTAGTCCACACATCTGCTTTGGAATGATGGTCGCACCCGATGCTTCCAGGAGGTCCAGTCTTGCAACCTGACTGGTGACGTACTCATAACGAGACACCTGCGTTCGGTCTTCGTGTGACACAGTGCTGCATGCATCGGAACTTGTGACACCCGCCGTTGTTATGCTGGGGGTAAATGATTGTGACTGCTGTGCGTGGGAATACTTTTCTGTGGCCGCAAGCGAGCTAGAACAGGCGTCACTCGATCCCTCAGTAACACCAGTCGCCGGAGGTACTCCAGGGACGGTACGCGGCAATGACGGTCGAAATCGTTCAACTGCCGTGCATCCGTCCGAGCTGCAGACAGTGGACAGCTCAGCTGGTGAGTTGACTTCCTTCGATCCCTTGCGTCCCTCCGCGGTAGATAGTGGTGGCAGTGTATCGGCAGCGGCTATGTCACTTCCTGTTAAGTTTGCTCCCACGCGCCAATTCGTTGTAGGGCTCCCCGGCAATGGCGTTGCCAAACACATACGCAAAGCAGACGTTGATGAAACGGCACCAATTGAAGACTTTCGTAGGGGAGGTATCTGCACGGCCCAACTGCTAGATGTTCCTGAGGCATCGCCGCCTGCAGCTGAATCAACAGAACGCTTCGCTAGGTACTGATAATACGTCTCTCTATTCACCAGCTCCTGCTGCGGCTTAGCAGCGAATGACGTTTTGCCCGGTCCCTCAGCAGAATCCGTGCCTAGAGGGAACTTCACGACAGCTGTTTCTGTCTCAGATTGGCAATCCATGAGATGCTGTGCCAGGCAATCATGTTGTCCTTGTAGACGGCCACTGAGCATGACTCTTGCCCACTCTACAGTCGCTGGCGTCAAATGAAGCTCAGGCAGATGGCGCAGCCATGCCGCATATCGGAAATGTGGGTTCTCCTTCGCCACTGAGCGCCTCCATACTAAGGATGTATGCAGGGAAACTCCAGTGTGCANGTGGGTTCTCCTTCGCCACTGAGCGCCTCCATACTAAGGATGTATGCAGGGAAACTCCAGTGTGCACAAGCGGATGTACCTTAGCGTGCAGTGCCTGTTCGCTCTCCCAACGGACAGCTGTCTTGATGCCGTCGCTGTTTCCTGCTTCGCACTCGGGTTCAAATGGTCCTGGGGAAAAGCGAAAGGGGTACCAATCCTGCTCGCAAAGCGCAAGAAAAGCGCATTTAAAGGCAAATTTAAAAAGACTGAGATGCGGCGCCCACTCTTTTTCTGGAGTTCAAATGTGGCCTTCTCCGAAGTGAACTACTGAAGCTCTTCTGAAAGAACTGCCGCGACGTAGTTCCTTATAGTGATAGTGAGTACCTCTGTTATGTCAGCGGCAGTACCCCCGTACTTCTTCTCAAGTTGGTGGGCAGCAAACTGCGTTCTGCGTTCCTGGTGCCATTCATCCATATTCGTAAAGACTCGAAGTTTCTTTGCCGTAGTTGTCGGTAAAGACGAGACCAAGGGCTTCGCTATAAAGTGGAATAGCCGTGGTGCAT